CGCAAAAGGCAGCCAGATAAGATTCTCGCATAACCTACTAAAAAAATCAGGAATGGCAATTGATTATTTTACCGGGTATTTTCTGTCGCACCGGGCTTATGTATATGTGTCGATAATGTCCTGCAGCGTGGCGTAGCATTTGCGGTACTCAAACGACCCAAGCTGCCCGCCGATACGCACCGCGATATAAAACGACGTGGCCAGAAGCAGCGCAGAGAGGTGGTCGCGGGATTTCGGACCATTTGTTAAGGTAGATCGACTGATTAGAAAGACGATCTGAGATGACAAAGAGAAAGAACCATTCAGCGAGTTCAAAGCGCGTGTTGCGCTTGATGCGATCCGCGAAGAGATGACGCTTGCGGAGCTGTAAAGAAGTACGGCGTCCATTCGGGCCAGATCAGCACGTGGAAGCGTGCGGACCTGGACAAACTGACATCAGCCTTCAGCGGCGTGGGAGAGATCCTGAGCCGGAGTCAGCGCTGCTGAAGTAGAGAAGCTGCATTCGAAGATTGGGCAGTTGGTGGTGGAGCGGGATTTTTGGCCGATGCCTCGCGTCAAACTTCTGGGGACGCGAGGCAAAAAATGGTGAGCAAGGGTCATAAGCTAAGTGTCAGGCGTCAATGCGCGCTGCTGACGTTGGCGCGCTCTAACCTGTATTATCAACCGAAGGGCGAGAGTGCTGAGAACCTACAATTTATGGGGATCATTGATAGCAGTTTTTGGAAACGCCGTGGTATGGTTCCCGGCAAATGGCTCGGCACATGAAACGGAACAACCACCAATGCGGTCGTCATCGGTGCGGCGTTTGATGCGCCTTATGCGCTTGGTTCGATCTACCAGGAGCCCAACACGAGCAAGAAGCACCCACAACACAAGATCTGGCCCTATCTGCTGAGGAATACGGTGATTGATCGGCCGAACCAAGTCTGGTGCGGGACATAACCTATATCCCAATGCGGCGAGGCTTCCTGTATCTGGTGGCGATTATGGACTGGTTCAGCCGCAAGGTGCTGGCCTGGCGGCTCTCCAACAGCATGGACGCGGAGTTCTGCGTTGAGGCGCTGAAGGAGGCCCTAAGCAAAACGGCACACCGGAGATATTCAACACGGATCAGGGCAGCCAGTTCACCAGCGGCGATTGGATCGACGTACTGACCGATGCGAAGATCAAGATCAGCATGGATGGTAAAGGGCGCTGGATCGACAACCGTATGATCGAACGTCTTGGCGGTCTTGAAGTACGAATGCATCTATTTGTACGCCTTTGAGAAGGGATCACAGGCCAAGGCTGGCATCGCTAAATGGCTCGCCTACTACAACGTTGAAAGGCCTCACTCGACGACGGCATCTTGACCCCAACGAGGTCTATGACAGCAAACGGAACCAATGAGACTAGCAGCCTGATATGAAACCATGGTCTACCTTAACAGGCTGCAAAATGGTCGGAAAACTAGGACCCTCTGAACCTCGTCCATGCCGCCCAGAAAAGTCGCTGGAAAGAACCCACGCCCACCCCGCCCGTGCGATACCGCAGGGCCATGGTGCAATTGCCTAGAAAGACAGAATGACCCGGTGCATCTGCAACATAGCGTTTGACGGCAACGTCATAGTGCCCGCCCAGGCGCAGATCGATGAAACGATCCGGCACCCGGCCATCGGGCCCGGAAACCTCCACCAGATGCAGGCGTTCCGGTGCGAGTTCCAGCACATGCAACGGTCTGCGCGGGGTGTTCCGGCGTCAGAGCGATATCAAGGATATGCCCGGCCACCGCCTGATGCACATCCATCGTGTGATCAAAATCAAGCGTCAGCAGGTGGTCATCGCCCGCGCCGTCCAGCTGCACCGCAAGATCGGTCAGCAACGGATCCCAGATACTCAACGCAGCGCCCATGCGCAAGGCCGCCTGCCCCGCGCACGCCCTGGCAGATCCGGTGGCCATATGCCAGAGATGCACCATTTCGCGGGCGTAGGTTTCAAATTGCCGGCCAAAATCCGTGACGCTGACCCGCCGCCCGTCACGCGTGAACAGATCCGCACCAAGGCGGTCTTCCAGCGCCCGGATACGCGCGGTCACTGTTGTCTGTGCGACGGACAAGCTGCGGGCGGCGGCGTGAAAACTGCCTTCGCGCAGGATCACCAGAAATGTTTCGATCGCTTCAATCTGCATCTGATCACTATTTTCGCTTACACTGATAAAATCAATTCGTTTTATTTATCAGCCTAAGCGCGGCATTCTGAAGGCAACAGACAATGGAAGGACAGCCCCATGCCAGACACCCTTCACGCGCCAGATGACGCGGAACACCGCCACAAACCCACCTGGACCAGTTTTGAAAACGCCACCCGGGAAGATTTCCTGGCGGTGATGGATTATGAAGAAGCCTATAACGCCGCCCTGCCCGATCGGATCCTGGAGGCGATCAAATCGCTGGATGAGGCCTGGACGCCCTATCCTGTTAACCGCTACCAACATTCCCTGCAGGCGGCGACCCGCGCTTATGAAGATGGTGCGGATGAGGAAATCATCGTCGCAGCCCTGATCCATGACACCGGTGACATTCTGTCCCCTTACAACCACGGCGAACTGGCGGCGGCGATGATGAAGCCTTACGTCAGCGAACGTTGCTACTGGATCCTGAAACATCACTGCGTTTTCCAGGGCTATTATTACAACCACCACCTGGGTGGGGATCGCAATGCGCGCGACAAATACCGCGACAGCCCGTTTTGGGAAGACTGCCGCTATTTCTGCCATGAATATGATCAATGTGCCTTTGATCCGGACTTTCCGACCAAACCACTGGAATTCTTTGAACCCATGCTCCGCAAGCTACTGTCCAAAGGCGAAGGCCATATGGAACTGAACGAAACCGCTAAAGGTTAAAATACAAAAGGCCGGGGATCATCGCCCCGGCCTTTTTTTATTCTGTGATCAATGATCAGTCGCTTTCACTCATATCCACGCCAAGCGCCTTGGCCACGGTGAAGATGTCTTTATCGCCGCGACCACACATGTTCATCACGATGATATGGTCTTTTGGCAGGGTTGGCGCCATCTTCATCACATGGGCCAGCGCGTGGGAGGGTTCCAGCGCCGGGATAATGCCTTCCTGCGTACAGCAGAACTGGAAGGCTTCCAGAGCTTCGGTGTCGGTGATCGACACATATTGCGCGCGGCCAATGTCATGCAGCCAGGAATGTTCAGGGCCAATGCCCGGATAATCCAGACCCGCAGAGATCGAAAATCCTTCAAGGATCTGTCCGTCATCATCCTGCAAAAGATACGTGCGGTTTCCGTGCAGAACGCCCGGACGGCCACCGGTCAGCGACGCGCAATGTTCCATCTTTTCATTCACGCCTTTGCCGCCGGCTTCAACACCAACGATATTGACGGACTGATCATCAAGGAACGGGAAGAACAGACCCATGGCGTTGGATCCGCCACCAATCGCCGCGATGATGGTATCGGGCAGACGGCCTTCGCCTTCGTGTTCGGGCAGTTGTTCCCGGACTTCTTTACCAATGATCGCCTGGAAATCGCGTACCATCGCAGGGTATGGGTGTGGGCCAGCCACGGTACCAATACAGTAGAACGTGTCGCGCACATTGGTCACCCAGTCGCGCAGCGCATCGTTCATCGCGTCTTTCAGCGTGCCACGACCAGAAGTCACAGGCACAACTTTTGCACCCAGCAATTTCATGCGGAACACGTTTGGCGCCTGACGTTCAACGTCATGGGCCCCCATGTAAACGATGCATTCCAGACCAAAACGCGCACAAACGGTCGCAGTCGCAACACCGTGCTGACCCGCGCCGGTTTCCGCGATGATCCGGGTTTGCCCATACGACGTGCCAGCAGGATCTGACCCAATACGTTGTTGATCTTATGCGCGCCGGTATGGTTCAGCTCGTCACGTTTCAGGTAAATCTTAGCGCCACCCAGGGCTTCGGTCATGCGTTCGGCATAATACAGCGGGCTTGGGCGACCGACGTAATGTTTCCACAGGTCATCCATTTCCGCATGGAATTCCGGGTCAACTTTCGCACGTTCGTATTCTTCCTCAAGATCGAGGATCAGAGGCATCAGGGTTTCAGACACGAAACGCCCGCCAAAATCACCAAAACGTCCGTTTTCATCCGGTCCGTTCATAAAGCTGTTGAACAGATCATCCATAGTTTTTCCCCTCAGAAACGTGGCACGGGATTTGTCGCCGCCTGGACGAAATCCGCTATCTTCTTTGCATTCTTTACGCCTGGCGCGCTCTCAACACCAGAGGAAACGTCAACCTGTGTTGCGCCCGTCAGGTGGATGGCCTCTGCGACATTTTCCGGGTTCAGTCCGCCCGCCAGCATCCATGGTGTGGCCCAGCGACGCCCGGCCAGAAAACGCCAGTCAAAAGCCAGACCATTTCCCCCGGGCAGATCGGCGTGTTTTGGCGGTTTGGCGTCAATCAGCAGCTGGTCCGCAACCTGGGTGTAGGTGCTGATTTGCGCAAGATCCGCTTCATCCGCAATCCCGATGGCTTTCATCACCGGAAGTCCATAACGCGCACGTACTTCCTGCACACGTTCAACGCTTTCTTTGCCGTGCAGCTGTAACATATCCAGCGGCACTTGCGCGGTGATCGCATCCAGCGTGGCATCATCTGCATTTACCGTCAGCGCAACCTTCGCCACCCCTTCCGGGATCTCAAGCGCCAGACTGCGCGCCTGATCAATCTCAAGATGTCGGGGGGATTTCGCAAAAAATACGAGGCCCGCATAACGGGCCCCGGCGGCAGCAACTGCAGCCACATCATCAGTGGTCGTGAGACCGCAAATCTTAACACTGGTGGTCATATTCTGATGCCCTGCCTTTTTATGGCAGCTTATGCTTTGCTTTCCAGAAGCGCCAGCACATCATCGGCCTTGCCACCTTTTTCTGCCGGTGTCGTCGCCCGCAGAGTTTCCACTTCTTTCTTCAGCTTCTCAGCCTGACGCGCTGTACCGCGGAATTTCATTTCACGCAGCCATTCCCAGACAAAGCCGATCAGCAGACCTGCGATGATCCCGCCAACGACAACCACAAAAAGCGGCAGTTGCAGCGGCGCACCTGAAAGACCCAGAATAGCGGACAATTCCGGCGGCAGCAGATAAAGCGAAACAAATCCGCGATTGGCCAGTGCAACTGTGATCAGCACAAAAGCCAGAGCGGCAAGAAAGAGGTACTTAAGATAGCGCATTCGTTACTTTCCGTTAAGCCGGTCTCGCAGTAGTTTACCTGTCTTAAAGAACGGCACATTTTTTGCGGGCACTTCAACAGATTCACCGGTGCGTGGATTACGACCTGTACGTGCCTCACGTTGTTTAACAGAAAATGCCCCGAAACCACGTAGTTCTACGCGGTCGCCACGGACCATTGCTTCTGTTATTTCATCAAATACAGTGTTTACGATGCGTTCAACATCGCGTTGATAAAGGTGCGGATTTTCATCCGCGATAGATTGAATAAGTTCCGAACGGATCATTCCTGTTTTCCCCTGGCTGGATTAGGCACATTTTTACATGTGCTCATTTGGAATTCGTCATGTGGACGTTACTATATTCACCGCTGCAAACTAAAACCGCAACGGGAAAGGCCCTTTCAAGCCGGGCTTTCAGCGATTTGAGACAAAATTATGCCTATTTTCCGACCAGTATCGGCGAATTCCACCCTATTGTATACGAAATCAGACGGCTTTAAGGAAATTTGATTCGTTAAAAAAGGCGGCCCGGTATATCACCAGACCGCCTTTCAATGTTTTTTCAGTCTACGGACTGAATGATCAGTCGTCAGACTTCAGAGCTGCGCCAAGGATATCACCCAGGGACGCGCCAGAGTCAGAAGAACCATACTGTTCCACTGCTTCTTTCTCTTCAGCGATCTCACGTGCTTTGATGGACAGACCCAGACGACGGGTTTTCGCATCAACGTTGGTTACACGTACGTCAAGCTTGTCACCAACCTGAAAGCGCTCTGGGCGCTGCTCGGCACGGTCACGGGACAGGTCGGAACGACGGATGAAGGATTTCATGCCTTCATAGTCAACTTCCACGCCGCCATCTTCGATCGCAGTCACTTCAACAGTGATGATAGAACCGCGCTTCACGCCGTCAGCAACTTCAGCGAACGGATCGCCGCCCAGTGCTTTAACGGAGAGAGAGATGCGTTCTTTTTCAACGTCCACTTCGGTTACAACGGCCTGAACCATTTCACCTTTGCGGTAGTCGCCGATCACATCTTCGCCACGGCCTTCCCATGTCAGATCTGACAGGTGAACCATGCCGTCGATTTCGTTGTCGAGACCGATGAACAGACCGAATTCAGTGATGTTCTTAACTTCACCTTCAACTTCGGTGCCAACTGGGTTGTTCTCAGCGAACACTTCCCATGGGTTGCGCATGGTCTGTTTCAGACCAAGGGATACACGACGCTTGGAACCGTCGATTTCCAGAACCATGACTTCGACTTCTTGTGAAGTAGACACGATTTTGCCCGGGTGTACGTTCTTCTTTGTCCAGGACATTTCAGAAACGTGTACGAGGCCTTCAACGCCGGCTTCGAGTTCAACAAATGCACCGTAATCGGTGATGTTGGTGACGCGACCCTTGTGGACGGAATCCAGTGGGTATTTCGCAGCAACAGCATCCCATGGATCGTCCTGCAGCTGTTTCATGCCGAGGGAGATACGGTGGGTTTCTTTGTTGATCTTGATCACCTGAACCTTGATGGTCTCACCGATTGTGAGAATCTCGGATGGGTGGTTCACACGGCGCCATGCCATGTCAGTGACGTGCAGCAGGCCATCAACGCCGCCGAGGTCAACGAATGCACCGTATTCAGTGATGTTCTTAACAACACCGTCAACTGCCTGACCTTCGGAAAGGTTGCCAATAACTTCAGCACGCTGTTCTGCGCGGGACTCTTCGAGGATCGCACGACGGGATACAACGATGTTGCCACGACGACGGTCCATTTTCAGAATCTGGAACGGCTGCTTCAGACCCATCAGTGGGCCTGCGTCACGTACTGGGCGTACGTCAACCTGGGAACCTGGCAGGAACGCAACAGCGCCGCCGAGGTCAACAGTGAAGCCGCCTTTAACGCGACCGAAGATAGCACCGTCAACACGCTCTTCGTCAGCATATGCTTTCTCGAGGCGATCCCATGCTTCTTCACGGCGTGCCATCTCACGGGAGATAACAGCTTCACCGCGGGCGTTTTCAGCTGCGCGCAGGAACACTTCTACAGTGTCGCCAACAGCGATTTCAGCTTCTTCACCAGGGTTTGCGAATTCTTTCAGATCAACGCGGCCTTCCATTTTGTAGCCAACGTCGATGATAGCCTGGCCCGCCTGAATAGCGATAACCTTGCCTTTGACAACAGACCCTTCCTGAGGGGTGTCAATCTCGAAGCTTTCCTGCAGCAGGGCTTCGAATTCTTCCATAGATATATTTGAGCCATTTGGTCTCAGTTTCCTTTACAGTCGTTTTTCCGGCCGCGCGGTTGTCTCCGCCGGTCTTGGTTTCAGTTGGTCAGCGGGCAGCCTGAAACAAACAGACCAAACACAAACAAAGAGGGCCGGTATGTGCCGACCCTGCCCGTCATTTTTTGTTTTATGGCATATATGCCTTACTGACCCGGGCTATATAGCGTTAACTGCCAGGAAACACAAGCCTGCATCCTCTGCAAAACAAGGCCAATCTCTTGCTTTTCGGGGGCTGCAACAGGTCAATCACGGTAAAGCCCGAAAGGTCAGAAATGATTCGGATGATCAATATCGAACAGGCCCTGCCTCTGCGCCAGAGCGTCCTGTGGCCGGGGCATCCGCTTTCGCATGCGATGGTGCCCGGCGATGCGGCTGCTTTGCATTTTGGTCTGTATCATGACGAAACTCTGGTTTCAGTTGCGTCATTGTTTCCGGATGATCATTCCGGCATTCAGCTGCGCAAATTTGCCACCCTGCCCCACATGCAGGGCCGGGGCTTTGGTCGCCGGATGCTGGATCATCTTCTGGCACAGGCACGGGACCGCGGGGCGACACATCTTTGGTGTGATGCGCGTGTATCTGCCCGGGATTTTTATGCAAAATCTGGATTTCGGGAGGAAGGTGAGGTTTTTGAACGTAAAGGCCAGTCTTATATCGTCATGCAGCACGCGTTCGACCGGCCCTGACCCCGAGAGCGCGCAGCCCCTGGCAGATCTTAAGCCTCCCTTGCGATAAATCCCCCGTTGCGCAACACCGGGAAACCCCGGATCCAAGATCGGATGAGAGGCCCCGGCGAAAGCATAAGGGGCGGATCACAGCTTACCTGTCAGGGCGTAACGATCCCTGGCACTCAGATCATATCCGCAAAGGCGGCGCCGCCATCTTTACTGGTCCTGCAGACAGGCCTGCGATGGAATGCTTCATCTGAACAGCTCTCAGGAACCGCCGGGATTACCCGCGCGGGCAAAACCTGTGCGTTCAACAATCAGCCTGCGTTCCGGACGGCATCCACGGCAGCGACACACCGGGCGACAGCGTCGTCAATGGACAATTCAGATGTATCCAGAAGAATGGCATCCTCCGCGGCCTTCAAAGGGGCCGTTGCGCGTTCACTGTCACGTTTGTCCCTGGCCTGCAGATCTTCCAGGACACCTTCCGGTGTCACATCCTGACCCTTCGCCGACAATTCCAGATAGCGCCGTTCTGCCCGTACCTCATCGGAAGCCGTAACATACAACTTCACCTCGGCTTCCGGGCAAATCACCGTGCCGATATCACGCCCGTCCAGGACCGCGCCCCCGGCCCGGCGTGCAAATGCCCGCTGAAAATCAAGCAAAGCCTGGCGCACTTCCGGGATTGCAGCAACTTTAGATGCGGCCTGCGCCACAGCAGAATTGCGCAGCGCATCTGCATCAATATCTTCCGCACGCAAAGATTTCGCCGCCTCCAGCGGGTCAGCGCCCTGTAACAACTGGGCACCAACCGCACGATACAAAAGCCCGGTATCCAGGTGCGCAAAGGCAAAATGCGCCGCAAGCGCTTTGGAAATTGTCCCTTTGCCCGATGCTGCCGGGCCGTCAACTGCGATTGTAAGTGCCATATGTTCTGCCTCCGTCTGGTCGGGGTACCTTTACAGAGGCCAACTGTCAAACCCGGGCAGGTCGCATACGTCTGTGTTCCCGGAAATGGCACAGTGCCAGCCAGAACAGCAAAATCAGCGCCCCGGCAGAACACAGTGTTTTCAATACGGTCCACTGATTGGCCTGCATCACCATCACATGGGAAGGCGCGCCTTCTGTCACAAGCAACCGTGTGATCACCATATTTTCGAAATAGTCTGCCGTTGCACTGCCAATGGCCAGCCCCATTCCGATAAGTGCCCCGGCACCATCGGAAATCCGGTTAAAAATCAGACAAAGCGTCAGCGCAAGGGCCCCGGGAAACACCATATCCAGCAAATGTTGGGGGCCCAGATAGATCTGACGCGCGCCAGGTGTCAAAGCCGTCAGGAACGCGTGGGCTTCTTCATAGGTGTAACCTGTCAGCCTCTGATCGAACGGCACCAGCCCACCTGCCCCGTCCGCAATCGACGGCAGCGTCCAAAACACCATCGCAGCGTATAAAAACGCTGTGACGGAAAACAAAGCTGTAAAAAGCATCGTAAACCGCATCGTATCCTCCGGCCTTCAGGGTACTGAACAATCCTTCAGTCAAAGTTAACATATCTTGCCATCTCTGGTGCAGATATTGCCAACCCGGGGACCGCCCCCTCGAAATGCAGGAAACAGCCATTTAATCAGAGACAGACAACAAAAGGAAACACGATATGTCGATCTGGTTTTTCGCCGGCGTCGCGCTCACGCTTTGGGTGCTATACGATCTTCTGATGGGCTACACATACCTGTGGGAACCCGTCGTACGCGCCGAAAACCCCTGGGGGTACTGGGCCGTCATAACCCTGTGGTCAGGGGCTGCGATCAGCTGCTTTGTCGTCGCCTGAACACATCAGTCTTTGATCATCGTTGTCAGCTCCGGATCATATCCCGCTGACTGCGGTGCATCCGCGGGGATACCGTAGTAATCCCCTTTATCCTCGCAATAGATATGTCCGCGGATGTCCAGGCCGGTATCCCCATCAAGGGTGCCGGCAAAAACTGAAATATTCGCGCCAGCCCCATCCCAGAACAGATTGCTGCCACAGGTCGCACAAAATCCGCGCCGGGCCGTTTCTGAGGACTGATACCAGGTAACCTCCCCCTGCACTGCAATCTGATCACGTCGCACAGAGGTCGCCGCAACATGATGGCCCGATGTTTTCCGGCACTGCACACAGTGACAAGCTATCACAGGGCGCAATTCACCCGTCAGTTCAAAACGCACATCGCCACAAAGGCAGGATCCGGTTTTCATCATTTTTCCTCCTGATCACAGGATCAGGATCAAAGGAAACATCCCGCTGATGCCCTCTGAAAACGACACACCCGGGACATTTTCAGTCCCGGGTGTTTAAAAATTCCTGCGCATTTCGGTGCCTGTGTCAGGCGTTATCGCGCGTGATCTGTGCGCCCAGGGTCTTCATCAGATCCTCAAACACCGGGAAGGATGTGGCAATTGGCGTGCCGTCATCGACAGACACAGGGTTCTGCGCCGCCATACCAAGCACCATGAAAGACATCGCAATCCGGTGATCCAGGAAGCTTTCACAGGTTGCACCACCCGGCACACCACCCGGCCCCATGCCATGCACGATCATCGTGTCTTCATCCTCCTCAACCGTTACACCACAGGCCCGCAGACCACGGGCCATGGCGTCAATGCGGTCACATTCCTTCACGCGCAGTTCTTTCACGCCGCGCATCACGGTTTTGCCGGTGGACAGGGCCGCAACAACGGACAGAACCGGGTATTCGTCAATCATAGATGCAGCACGCGCAGGTGGCACTTCGATGCCATGGGTTTCAGCGTAACGCACGCGCAGGTCGGCGACCGGTTCACCGCCCTCAAGGCGTTCATTTTCAAACGTAATATCCGCGCCCATTTCCACAAGCGTCGTGTAGATTCCGTTGCGCGTCAGGTTCTGGGATACGCCTGGTACGAACACTTCGGACCCAGGCACAATTGTCGCCGCACAGGTCGGGAAAGCAGCAGAGCTTGGGTCGCGCGGCACAGAGATCACCTGCGGTTTCAGTTCAGGCTGACCTGTCAGGGTGATACGACGGCCGTCCTCTGTTTCTTCAACGGAAATCTCGGCACCAAAGCCTTCCAGCATACGTTCTGTATGGTCGCGGGTGGCTTCTTTTTCGATCACCACAGTCTGACCCGGCGCGTTCAGCCCCGCCAAAAGCACCGCAGATTTTACCTGAGCGGACGGCATCGGCACGGTGTATTCCACCGGCACAGGTTCGGTTGCGCCCACAATGGTCATCGGCAGACGACCACCGGAACGGCCCACAGATTGCGCGCCAAACAGCGCAATCGGATCGGTCACACGGCCCATCGGGCGTTTGTTCAGGCTGGCGTCACCCGTGAACGTCGCATTGATCCCCTGGGTCGCCATCACGCCCATGATCAGACGCACGCCAGTGCCGGAATTGCCGCAATCAATCACATTGTCAGGTTCGGAAAAACCACCAACCCCGACACCGTTCACCGACCATTCGCCCGGTCCGTGTTGTGTCACGGTCGCACCAAAGGCCCGCATGGCTTTTGCCGTATCCAGCACGTCTTCGCCTTCCAGCAGGCCGGTGACTTTGGTTTCACCCACCGCCAGTGCGCCAAAGATCAGCGCACGATGCGAAATGGATTTATCCCCTGGCACAGCAGCGTCGCCGTTCAGCGGGCCGCATTTACGAGAGGTCATCGGGATCGGGGTGCCATGGCCGGACATTTGCGCTTCCTTCATTCAGTCTTGCCACACTGATAGCGCAAGCAAAGGGGGGCGTAAATCATGCAAATGATCCACGCCCGCCCTTATCTTTTATGTTTGCCTCAGGTCACCTCGTTAAACCGTGGTCCTTTGAAGGTGCGATGGGCATTTCCGCGCTCCAGAGCATGGTGACGCAGGTTCGCATCCCGGGCCTGACCAGCCGTATCAAGTTCCGCCTGCGCGGCCCTTAACGCGGCCAGGCGTTCCACCGCCAGGGCCTTATTACGATGCTGCGAACGCCCGTCCCGCACGACCACCGACAGGCCGCTTTGCAGACAGGTCGCCCGCACAGCGCTGTCGGTGGTGTTCTGATGCTGACCACCTGGGCCACCGGCACGAAACGTGTCAAACCGCACATCCCCCGTTGACGCGATGGCTTTCACCGCCGCCAGACGCGAAACACCGGCAAACCAGTTCTGGCGCTTATAACCGGGGCGCAACGCACTTTTGCTGATCCAGCGGATGGTACCAACCCAATGCTGTGCAAAGCGATCTGCACAGGGCCCGTGCAATGTCACGACCGCAGATTTCACACCGTGTTTTGCAGGCACTTCACTGATGTCCAGATCCGCCCCCATGTCTTCCGCTTCTTCCCGCATCCGCACCAGGATATGTGCTGCCGCAAGACAGCACTCCCCCGGCCCGTTGCCGCTGGTCACAAGCAAAGTCACGTGATCAGTCGTCTTCTCAGTCATGGCGGCCCCCGTTTTTTGCGTGCTTAAACGTCATCAGTGGCGCAAGCCTCGCCACCACATGTGCCACATCAAAACGCGCCAGATCATTCGCCACATCCGCGGCGGATTTATAGGCCTGGGGCGCTTCTTCAATCAGCATGGCTTTATCTTCGCAAATCACCCGCCCATTGGCCGTTGGCCTGCGCAGGGCCTCAAGCGAAGACTTCGCCTTTGACACGCGCCCATGCATAGAGGCGCGATCATAGCGTCGCCCTGCCCCATGCGCACAGGAGTTCAGCGCAGTGTTGCCACCCGCACCGGGCTTCAGAAGAAAGCTTTCCGTCGCACGCGTACCGGCCAGCGGCACCAGATCCTGCAATTGCGCAGCCCCTTTCCGATGCAGCCATGCACCCTGTTCCTGTGTCACCAGGTTATGCGCGCAATCGCTGATCAGGGTCAGGTTACAACGCAGGGCACTTGCTGCCCGTTGCGCAATAACCATACGATTGAGCCACGCCCAGGTCACAGCCTGATCATGACGTTCAAGCCAGGCCTGTCCTTCGGCGGACGTCGGATCATAAGCAACCAGCCCGTCTGCCAGAACCTCCTGCAACAGCTGATGCCCCAGACCACGCGACCCTGTATGCACCAGCAGACACAGCTGATCTTTAGTCAGCCCGCTTTCCGCATCCGCCTGCACCACCCGCTGCACTTCGCAGAAATGGTTGCCGGTACCGATTGTACCCAGCGCCTCAAGAAAGAGATCGCCCGTCAGATCATAATGTTCGAAATCTTCTGTCAGATCCCAGTCATGCGGTTCAGCCAGACAACGCAACTTAGCTGCCATCTTATCCGGCTTCCAGCGGCGCAGCGGCAGATCCAGCGCATACAGCGCCATGCCACAGCCGATGTCAGATCCCACAAGCTGTGGGTGCAGTTTATCAGACAGAACCGCACAGCCTACCGGCCCGTATTTCCCCGGATGCAGGTCTGGAAACGCGGCCACAGCACGCACACCATCAAGGCATGCAACCTGTTGTAACTGATCTTCCGCACGCCCTTCGATCCAGGCGTTTTCATTATAATAAAGATGGATCGCAGCCCTGCCCTTTTTGGCAGGCAGCACACGACCCGAGGCAAAATTGCCCATGGTATATTCCAGTATTTTGATTTTGTCGGGCGCTGTCACCAGCGCACCTGTACAAAGTCGGGGGCTGATGTGGCCTTAAACTTTGCGAACCCCGGCAGGGATGAATGTAAATGTCGTCATGTTATTCTCCCTTTCTGGCTGAGGATACGGAATGCCCGATGGGCGGTGTGTCTGCCTTTTAGCGGCAGATATGAAAACAGCAAAGCCCCGTCGGAAATGACAGGGCCTGCATGTGGTTTAGCGGTAACAGTGATGTCAGCCCTTACGGCGGAACGTCATGTAATGTGGCGTCCGGCCTTCGCGCAAAGCCTTTTGTTCATAGCGCGTGGAAATCCAGTCATCCCAGGAATTGCGCCAGTCGTCCGCGCTTTCCGCCAGCCATTCAAACCCGGCCTTTGGCACTTCTTCCATGGTCTGGCGCACGTAATCTTCAATATCCGTCGCAACCCGGAAAATCGCGCCTGGTTTCAGAACTTTCGCCAGTGGTTCCAGGTGTTCCTGGGTCACAAAGCGGCGGCGGTGATGGCGTTTCTTGGGCCAGGGATCGGGGGTAAAGCAGGAAGGCTTTGTCAATGGATTGTTCCGGCAGCACATCAAACATGTCACGCGCATCCCCGGGGTGGATCGCAACGTTGCTGACGCCAGCCTCACGGATTTTACCAAGCAGCATGGCAACGCCGTGATATAGGGTTCACAGCCGATGATCCCGACATCCGGGTAGGTCTTTGCCTGATGCACCATATGTTCGCCACCGCCAAAGCCAACTTCCAGCCAGACAGGTTTATCGCCAAACAGCGCCTTCAGGTCGATATTCTCACGGGTGGGATTGTCTTCCCAGGTCACTTTACCAGGCGACAATTTCGCGAGATCTTCATCCAGATAAGTCTGCTGAGAGTCCCGCAGGCCTTTGCCCTTGAAACGGCCATAGAAGTTACGCCAGGGCGCGCCGGAGGGGAGATTACCTTCAGGTTTTTTATCGTCAGACATGGTCGCTCCGCAGGCAAGAGAAAGGCAGGAAAATTGCCCGCCTTCCCTAAACTTTAAGCCCGCAAAGTGCAATCCACCCTTTGAAAGGGTTAGATGTCACCAGCCTGAGCAATCTTCAGAGCTTTATTCAGGGGCTTAGCTTCTTTCGCTGGAAAGGCACAAAGGGTGATTTTCCATCCTGCGCCCATGGCCTTCAGAAAGTGATGGGCTTCCCGGATGGCAATCGCCGCGGCCTCATCTTTGGGAAATCCGTAAACGCCCGTAGAAATTGCGGGAAATACGATGCGTTTCAGACCGTGTTCAGCTGCAAGTTTCAGACTGTTACGATAGGCATTGGCCAACAGTTCCGGTTCATCATTGCCGCCGCCACGCCAGATCGGGCCGACAGTGTGAATGATATTGAGAAAGGGCAGATCATGCGAACCGGTAATAACGGCGTCTCCGGTTTCACATCCACCAAAGGCCCGGCATTCTTCTTTTAGCCCGGGGCCGGCGGCGCGATGGATTACGCCATCAACGCCGCCGCCCCCAAGCAAAGACTTATTGGCCGCGTTCACAATAACATCTGCATCACATTCAATGATGCTTCCGATATGAACAACCGGCCACATGCTTAAACCGCTTTCTTAAGCGCCTCAGCCAGATCGGTGCGTTCCCAGGAGAAACCACCATCATCTGTCGGCGTCCGGCCAAAGTGACCATAAGCAGCAGTGCGCTGATAAACCGGCTTGTTCAGGCCCAGGTGGGTCCGGATGCCCTGCGGGGTCAGATCCATACAGGCAGCAACCGCTTTTTCGATCTCGCTCTCATGTACTTTGCCAGTTCCATGCGTGTCAGCGTAGATCGACAAAGGTTTCGCAACACCGATCGCGTAAGACAACTGCAACGTACAGCGATCCGCCATGCCGGCAGCAACAATGTTTTTCGCCAGATAACGCGCCGCATAGGCTGCGGAACGGTCAACCTTTGTTGGATCTTTACCAGAGAACGCACCGCCACCATGTGGGGCTGCACCGCCGTAAGTATCCACGATGATCTTACGACCCGTCAGGCCAGCATCCCCATCCGGGCCGCCAATGACGAATTTCCCGGTTGGGTTCACGTGCCATTCCGTCGCCGCAGAAACCCAGCCTTCCGGCAGCGTTTCGCGGATGTAAGGTTCTACAATCGCACGCACATCAGCAGATGACAGTGCTTCGTCCAGGTGCTGTGTGGACAGAACGATGGAAGACACGCCAACCGGCTTGCCGCCTTCATAAACCACAGACAGCTGGCTTTTCGCATCCGGGCCAAGTGCTGGTTCCGTGCCGTTTTTGCGCACTTCCGCAAGACGACGCAGGATCGCGTGGGAATACTGGATCGGGGCTGGCATCAGGGCTTCGGTTTCATTTACCGCATAGCCAAACATGATACCCTGATCACCCGCGCCTTCGTCTTTGTCAGCGCTTGCGTCCACACCCTGGGCGATATGGGCGGATTGTTCATGCAGCAGGTTGGTGATTTCCACAGTTTCGTGGTGGAATTTATCCTGCTCATAGCCGATGCCTTTGATGCAATCGCGCACGATGGCATCGGTCTTTTCAAGATATTCTTTAAGTTTCGCCTGATCAGACAGGCCAACTTCACCACCAATCACAACACGGTTTGTTGTGGCGAAGGTTTCACAGGCAACCCGTGCTTCGGGTTCTTCAGAAAGAAAGGCGTCAAGGATGGCATCGGAAATCTGGTCACAGACTTTATCAGGATGCCCTTCGGAAACGGATTCCGAAGTGAACGTATAGTTTTCACGAGTCATTTGAGAGTGCTCCGGTACAAAATGA